GAAACTTGGATTGTTTTCCCTCCATTTTTTCGCCCCTTTTCCCCCCCTTTTTGTCTGTATAACAGCAGCCCTAGCTCTGTTATTAGGGTTACAAAAAATTGCCCTTAGCATCTTATATTGTATCTCCCTCTCCTTCTCTTCCAAAGACCAAAATCCTTCAAACCCTACACCATTTTACACTACACCTCATAGCACCACATCCCCATCTTCCATTCCAACAGCTTGAAACTGATTTCCAGAGCTAAGGAGCCACCAAACTCAAGCCAAGAGTTGTCAAAGACTTGGTCTTCAAGGGTGAGCCACTTTTTCCCTCTTTTTGAGCTTATTTTGTATGCTTTCTAAGTCATACTTTCTTGCTATTTTGGGCTCCAACCCTAACTGGAAATAGGCTTATTTTGAGCTATTTTTCATATTTGTTTAAAGGCCTCTCACTGTTTGAGGCCTCCTTGTTGCACTTACTTCATTACCCCTCTTGTATGCCATTTTCTTGTGTAGTACTTTTGGCCTATGTATAAATTGTTTTGAGGCATGTCATAAACTGTAAAGTGGCTTATTTTGAGCCCTTATTCAATGTTTTTGAAGGGCTCATCACTTTTTGAGGCTTCTATCTTCCCCTTGCCTTTATATCCCTTTTTTGGCTCCATTTTTGCATGATTTGTTAGCCTCTTATACTTCTGTTTTTGGGCTCTGGTCCGAACTACAAATGACCCTATTTTGACCCCCTCTTCATTTTTTATTAAGGGTATTTCATTGTTTGAGGCATCCTTTTTATACTTTGTGTTATAGCTCTTTTTTTGGCCTTTTTTTGCATAGCATTTTGAGCATTCTTGTACACTGTTTTGGGTCTGGCCACCAACTGTAAAATATCATATTTTGGGCCCCCCTTCAAAATTGTTGAAGGGCCCTCATCTGTTTGAGGCCTGCAGCTGTGACTCACTTCTTTATCTCACATTTAGGGCCATTTTTGCATGCTAGTTTTTCCCCATTTGTGTTTATTCTTTGACCTTGCTTAGAACTTTAAATGTGCTTATTTTTGGGCTTTCTTGACTCTGTCTTTGCATTCTGGGTTCAAATAATGCATGTTTTGTATAGCTATAGGCCAATGCATAGACCTAGTTTTGCATTTCGGTTTCATTTCATGCATCGGGTGCTATATTGTCATGATTCGGGGCTGTTTCGAGTCATATTTTAGCGCTGAAATTTGCATGTTTGTATGCCATATTTCATGCCTTGCCATGTCTTGTTAGAGTGGCATTTGGTGCCTTAGGGTCGGTCCTCGGTTTGCGCGCATGTGTGCACGCATTTTGAGTGTCTCATTTTTCATCCAATGGCCTCTTATGTGAGTGTGGCTGAGGTCCACTCATGTTGGTGTAAGCCCATATTGCATTGTGTATGCCATTTCACTTCATAGCATTGTGTATGCTAGGTTGTATGTTATCGCATTGTGTATGCCATGTTATCTCGTGCATCGTGTATGCCATTTCATAGCATTGTGCATGCTAGGTTGTATATTAGTCGCATTCATGCATGTCATGCATATTGCATCGTGCTTGGGATAGGAGTTAGCCTGAGCACGGGAAACGAGGGACGTTTCATACTTCGAGTGACGGAACGTGTCTCAATTCCAAGTCACCGGCACTCCGGATTATCCATGATGGAGTTAGGTCTTGTTGTGTTTATATGTGCATTCATTCTATATTGAGTTTCACAATTCGACTCCTCAGCCATCATGCTTCAAGATGCGTGATTGGTGGCACAAGGATCGAGGCATGCATACATTTGTGAAAATACATTGTCATGCCCCTTTTCTGCTCTCTGTTGCAGCAAATCAAGAATCAGCAATCTTCCGGGGCTTGGCGCGCTTTCCAAAAATTATTACAAAACAGAGGCTAATTGGGGCATCACCGTGGATTTCCGCGCAAGGCAACCCGAGCATGCATCATTCATCATTTGAAGAAGAGTCAAGGCAGTCCCTGGCTTGCATGCCAGTTTATTATTTTTCTTAGTTAATTTGTAAATTAATTAGGAATTTGTATTTATTCGGACTGTATTATTTGGACTGTAATATTTATTCGGGACTGTATTATTCTTTCAGACCCTCCGCGCGAGGGCAATGTTGTAATAAGTGTGCGTGTGTGTGATGTATGTCTTCCAACCCCACGTCTTTCTCCCTTTTATTTACCCGCTTATGATGGTTAGATTAGGGCATGTTTCAATTAGCATACAGTATGATAGCATATTTGCATTCATTCATCTGTTTTGCATGTATCGGGCTCGGCGCATCATACTAACTGCATTTGTATTTCAATTCCAAGTTGAATACATGTTATCTGTAGCATTTCATATGCCATGTTTAGAATAGCCAAGCCTGCTATAGTTGCATTTTTGCATGTGTTGCATTAGGCATTTCCGTATAATTAGGATCATGCATGGATTTCTAATTAGCTTCTGTTTTGGCTTGGAGTACTCGGTAAGTTTTATGCTTTAGCATCCTTGCATGCGTGTGAGTGACTGCCATGAATAGCATGCTTACCATGAGGCTATATGCTTATGTGAAATAATTGCCTGAATGCCTGTGGGTGAAGGTTGGGTTATTTGAATTGAAACAATTCATCAAATGTGTGTTTTAAGCCCACTAGATAGTGGCAAAATCATGTTTTGCCTATTTGTAAAATGTTTTGAGGCAAGTTGTAAACTGTAAAGTGGCTTATTTTGATCCCTTTGTCAACATTGTTGAAGGGCTCTTCACTGTTTGAGGCTTCCATCTGTCACTTGCCTCTTTATCCCTC